CATCGACAAGAATTGGAGCGGCAGGACGCCTCTGGGCAGGGCCCGAGGGGGGGGCCGCGCCCGAGGCGGGGAGCAAGGAACGCCATGGAAGAAGCAGAGGGGACCCGTGAGATCCTGGGAGATCTCATGGCACCAGCGACGGTTTCCACTTCCCCATTGGCCTCACCGGTGGGGCCCGAAACGGTCGGCTCGGCAGCTCACGCCGCATCGCCGACGCATCAACGATGCAATCGGCGACGCCGCATCGAGCCGCGACGCCCCTGCATCGGCGATGCGGCGCGATGCCCCAACCCCTAGGGGGAAAACAAACCTACCTCGCTTTTGACCACCCTCGCTTCCAAGAGATACCAAACGATGCCAAATTGCAGCCTGTACTGGTCAGGCCGCTTGACGAGGAGGCGCGTGGTATGGCTTGGTTTTGCCTGGAAGCGAAAGCGGGGTAGGTAATTCACGCTCTGAACCCCGCCTCCTCCGACCACATCTCGCAATCAGCCCCCCCCCCCAGAGCAAGGACCGACCTTCCCGGCATTCCTGCCGGCCTATTATATCACCAGGTCCTGTTTCGGGGGCGGCCAAGAGGGGGGCGTCCAAGAGGGAGGGGCGCAAATCATGGCCGGCGGCATATGCGCGGCCCAGGGGGGGCCAGGGACGTACGGCCTGACCTGAGGAACGATCAATAAGGAACGAAACCCCTTTTTGTCCAAGTAAGTCTACGAAGTCCGAGGGAACACCAGGGGGGCTCGCCGCCAAAAAGGCAGCGGAGCGCATGCAAACCAAAGGAAAGATCGAGCTCCTTTTGGAAAGAAAGTTGTCCTTATTCAAGCCGGACCCTGTGGGAGGATAGCCCCTGACAGAACAGAAACGAAACAGGACACTGGGGCGGAAGAGAAACAGAACGCGTAGTGTGAGCGAGACCTCAAGCCTTGTTCGGAGAGAATGTGCAACCTGTTGGAAGGGGAGGAGGACAGTTAAGTACGAGGAGGAGGAGGAGGAGGAGGCTGTCATCTGATCGCTTGGATTCTGCCACCGTGTAGGACATGAAATATGCGTGACGTCGTGACGCTTGTGACGCTAGATACGGCGTCCAGTCGGTCGTTGCTGCGCCTGTTGGATCCTGTGGCCAGTCTGACCTCGGCGCGCTCGTCGCGTAAAAGTACGGTCTAATATGCTATAGTATTCCTCTTCACTGATGTGGTCCCTCCTGTTTAAATATGCTCTGTTATGTTCGCATGTGTGGCTGCATGCTTTCATATGGCATGGTTCGAGAAGCTCTCTGAGACCGTGAGATGGCATGATATGTTGAGTCATCTTATGCTCGAGCAAGCTCATTTGCTGTTTGAGTGGTGCTCTGTTCGTTATAATGTAGTATGGCCTGCTCTCCTATGACATATTGTCTAAGAAGATACATTATATAATGATATATAAAACGAGTTGCCGCAATGGCATCTGTTATAGAACACTAATGTTATGGTACACGTGTTACGTCAATGTGCGATGCTGTGCTATGTTGTCGCATGGTTGTATGCTGCAAATGTTTAAAACTATACGATGCTATAATACGCTCATCGCCGCCGTGGTAACAATGATAAAGCACGCCCAATACGTTTTGTTACGGCATGCTAGGCTGTCCTCTACTATGTTCTGCTATGGCATGATATGCAATGATATGTTATGTTGTAATCGGCCATGCGGTCCGTCATGCTCTGCTACGTCATGACATGTTGTGGTATGGTCTGTGTTGTAATGTGTTATTGTGCTACACCGCGCCGTGCCACGAGATGAGTTGCCGTGTTATCGAATGCTAGGTGCTATGGTGTTGTGGTGTGTGATGTTATGTGCTGGCATGTTATGTTGTGTCATGCTATGGTATGATATGACATGGTCTGTTCTGCTATGAGTTGGTACGCTATGGGCTGGTATAATATTTTGTCTATGATCCACTCTGTCAGTGCATGCGTTGTTATGCTGTGCTATGATAGATTATGATATGACCTGGTATGCACATTTGAGATATGGTATGCGCTGCCATGGTATGGTATGGTCTGTTATGGTATGGCATCATGCTCTGGTATAATGTGGCATGCTGCGCTCTGCCATGCCATGGTATGGTAAGTGGTTATATGTTATGGTATTATATGGTATGCCATGGTATGATTATGGCATGCCTTGTTGTGTTGCGATGCGCCTTGTTGTGTTAAAACGTATAGTGGTATGCTATGTAGTAGTGTATGAATGGGCTGTCATTGTATGCGTTGGTATGATGTGGTATGGCATGCGATGGTGTGTGATGGAATGGAAAAGTATTACATGTTATGGTACGTCATGGTTTGATAGTGGATTTCATGCTATGGTATGAGGTGGGGTGCTACGCATGATGTGCTTTGTATGCTCCACTCTGTCACTGTATACGTTGGTGTGGTGTGCTATGTTATGATATGGTATGTCATGTGATGGTATGGCATGTTGCGGTATGGTACTATGATACACTATGTCCTGCAGTGTTATAATACGGTATGCCGTGTTATCCCATGGTAATATGTTGCCATGGTATGAACTGATATGGTATGTGATGTTGCGTATGCTATTAGATGGTATGTGGTGGTGTGTACTATTCTGCTATGTCGTACTATGTTGTATGATGTTATGATGTGTGGTGTTACGCTTCGCTCTGTCAGGCTCTGTCGTGCTCGTCGAAGGGGCGAGGCGGGAGTCTCGGGGGATTCTCAGTTGACCTGGGGATTTGGCGGCCGCGGTATGCAAAGTGGGCGGGTCGGCGCGAGGCGGGAGTCTCGGGGAACCCTCGGTGGACCTCGGGATCTGGCGGCCGCGGTGTGCACGGTGGGCGGGCCGGGAAGTCTGTTCTAAAATCTAACGAACCCGACCTGTCAGATGGGGAACAGGTGTTCTTAGAACACAGACCCGATTGGATAACACAAGACGATCTCAGCCAGAAATGTCCCAAGAGCACTGCGTGCAAACCACACACGGCTCTCAGAGCATCCTCTGGTGGGCTCACGGGCAAGCCAGGACGCCTCGCCACTGCTTGACCCTTGCGGAGGAACCAGAAGGTACCGATACCGCTACTCCCCGGACCTCTCCCCGGGTGCGTTCTGACCAGGATCTCGAGGCGAATCCAGCCGTCGCGACGAGGGCCGCCCAGGAGGCCGAAAAAGGGAATGAACGAGGGAAGGGTAGCGTTGTGAGTACCTTCCCAAATATCCGACGTCATGACTTTGTCATGACATCGACCCCACAGAGGTCTCGACCCTTCCCATTGTTTTCGCCCCGAGTCCTTTTTTTTGACGGCCCCGAGGCCCGGGAGGAGCCCCCAGAGGCCCAGAATGGCGAACGACCTCCCGTCGCGGTTTCCCGTTCATGATTCGAGGGGGCCTGGGTGTTCCTCTTAGGTCGGGCATGTCCTTCTACAGGCGGATCTTGGACGAAAAATCAAAAACATTTAAACATCGCCCCCTGACTATGTCTTGACTACTCTTGAATTGTCCTCCTGTAAAGGATGTGCCCGACTTAGTACTCCTCATCTGTATTGAGCAGGGACCGACCCTCCTGGCATCTCTATAGGCCTACCACGAAAGGTTCTTAGAATCCAAGAGATGTTCTCATAGCAAAAAACAATGGCCTTAGAACATAAGCCCGACGCGATGAAACAACAGACTCCGTCAGAGTCAGAAACGTTCCAAGCACATGCCGTGGCAACCTCCACAGGCTCTCAGAACCTTGCTTGGTAGAGCGATAGGCCCCAGACTATTTCGGGATTATGTTTGGAACATGTTTGCATTATTTTTGGACTACTTTTGGATTATTGGGGGGGGGGTCTTTTTGGACTATTTTTGGATTATCTTTGCACTGCTTGTTTTGACTATGTTTGGATTCTTTCGCGTGTATTTTTTGTTGCTCGTCGACAGTCCCCCTGCAGGGGGACACGCCCGACTTCCCGGTAGGGCATATGGGCACGCCAGGACGCTCCGCCGCTGCTCCGCCCTCCTCCTCCTCTCCTCCTCCTCCTCCTCCTCCTCCTCCTCCTCCTACTCCTCCTCCTCCTCGTCCTCCTCCCTCCTCCTCCTCCTCCTCCTCCTCCTCCTCCTCCTCCTCCTCCTCCTCCTCCTCCTCCTCCTCCCTCCCTCCTCCCTCCTCCTGCGCACCTCCGCCCGCTCCTGCCTCGGGCGCCGCCGCGCCGCCGCCGCGCGGGGCCGCCGGCGGGCCCGCGCCGAGGGCGGCCCCCGGGGGCCCCGCGGCGGCGGCGGGCGGCTCCCGGCGCAGCCGCCCGGGGGGCGGCCCAGGGGCGGGAGGGCGGCCAAGCAGCGGCCGCGCGACGAGGCCAAGCGAGAGAGAGAGGCAACGCACTGGGCAAAAAATCAGGCGCGGAGGCTCTGCGCACCCTTCGGCCCCGAATATATAAGGGGCCCTCGCCGGGCCTCGGGGCCTGGGCAAGAAACGACTCGGGGAGAGAAACGGGTCCTGGGGAATGGGTCTGCAGCCTTCCGGGGACCGCGTGCTGCAAAAATCACGACGTCGGATCTCTGGGAAGGCGAGGCCAAATTCGGGCGAGGGTACCTCGAGAATCTCTGAGGTCCAGCGGCTCTGGAGGATGCCTCGGGCGCCGCGGCCTTCTCGGAGCGCCTCGGAGCGCTCGGAGAGCGTTCCGGAACGCTCTGGCCTCGAGCTGGATCGGCCCGTGAGGGTCCCCGGACCCGAAGCCCGGATCTGAGAAGGCCCGTGCCTCCTCATGCCCAGAGATCCGACGTCGTGATTTTTTCAATACGCGGTCCCCGGAAGTCTCGACCCATTCCCCAGGACCGGTTTCTCTTCCCGAGTCGTTTTTTGACGGTCCCGAGGCCCCGCGAGGGCCCCTAGGGGCCGAAATCGGCGAAAAACCGCCGTCGTGATTTTTTCAATGCGTTGGATCTCTGGGCGGCTGTCGTGGCGACCGCACTCGCCGCCCTCCCGAGGGGCGTGGCCGGCGGGCGGCGGCCGCGGCGGGGCCGCCCAGACGCCCTGCGGCCGCGCCAGGCCCGCCGCGCCCGCCGAGAGGCGCGCGAGGAGCTGCCGCTCGCAGCCCGGCTGGTCGGCGGCCCGCAGCCGCCAGTGCTCCCCGCGCAGCGCGCCCGCGAGCTGCAGGCCTCGGCCAGCGCGACGCTCTGCGGCGGACGGCCGGGCGGCGGCGGCGCGCAGAATTGAAGGGGCCCTGGGACACACACATAGATACATACACACAAAAATAAAACTATTCCCCGTGTTTTCCTCTATATCTTCTGGGTTTTTTGTCTTCCCCACCACGTCCCATGTTTTCCCATGTCTCCTGGGGGACCGGCGACTCATCGTGTCGGTGTGTTTTTTTTTCCCTCCCGAATGATTCGGGCCGGGCGAAACGGGGGGGGAGAAAGCAAAGGGGGGGGGTGAGGATCAGCTCACGTGTACGCAGCTGACTTTCCCGGCGCCCTCCCGGCGCCGGAGCCGGCGCCCGGGGCCGGCCATGTATATCGAGGAGTGGGCCCCTCGGTGGGGCCGAAACCAGCTGCGTGCCGCAGATTTCGTAACCCCCCCTGTCCCAATCCCCCCCTTCGTTCCCAGACCCCCTCGAGTAATGAAAAAATCATGACGGGAGGTTTTTCTCAATTTTCGGCCTCCGGGGGCCCTCACCGGGCCTCGGGAGCGTCAAAAAACGACTCAGGATGCAAAGCCGGTCATGGGGAAAGGGTCGGGACCTCTGGGGGTCGACGTAATGAACAAATCATTACGTCGGGGGTCTGGGTTCGGCCCGAGCATACGGCGGCCGACGGCCGACGGCAGACGGCGGCGGCGGATGGTCCCCGAGATCCGACGCAGCGAAAAAGTTGCGCGGCCTCGTACAAAAATCACGCCCGGAGCCCTGTAGGCACCATCCCTCTGCGCCGTCTGTCGAGCCGGGTCGATCTGCGAGGGTCCCGGGGCCCGAGAGACAGGCGAAGACGCCCAGCTCCGCAAAAATGGGGACGCCGGGATCTCAGGGGCGGTGGCCGACGGCCGACGACGGACGGCCGGGCGGTGGCGACGACCGACGGCGGCGACGGCCGACCGAGCCGACGGCGGACCGCCGAGCAGCGGCGACGGCGGACCGCCGGGCGGCGGGGACGGCGGACGCACGACGGCGGACAGCCGGGCGACGGCGGCGATGGCGGACGGCGCACGGACGGCGGCGGCCGGCGGCGACGGCGACGGCCGGCGGTGAACGGCGGGCGTCCCCTGAGATCCCAGCGTTGCAATTGTATCACAACGGGCGTTCTCGCTCCACTTCGGGCCCCCCGGACCCTCACAGATCGCCCCGACTCGAAACACGACGCAGAAGGATGGGGTCCGCTCCGGCCGTGATTCCTTGTTGCGCTGTTGCCTTTGTTCTGCAGCGTCGGGTCTCAGGGGGCGCCAGCGACGATGAGGAGGAGGAGGCGGAGGAGGACGAGGAGGAGGAGGAGGAGGAGGAGGCGGAGGACGAGGAGGAGGAGCAGGAGGAGCAGGAGGAGGAGGAGGAGGAGGAGGAGGAGGAGGAGCAGCAGCAGGAGGGCGGCCATGGAGCGGCGGCGGCGGCCTCTGTCCCCCCGCAGCACGTCGCCCAGGTCGCGCCCCCGCTCGAAGGGGTCCTCCACGTGCAGGCCAGGCCCGGGGCGGCTCGACAGCTCGGGGAACTCGCGGAGGGGCCTCCTGCGCAGGGAGGGCGCGCGCGCGCGAGCCGCCGCCGCGCCCGCCGCGGGGCCACGGCGGGCGCCACGGCACCGGCGCGCGCGCCCCATCCCCAGACATGATCGCGTCGTGGATCGTCGCCGGGAGGAGGAGGAGGAGGAGGAGGAGGAGGAGGAGGAGGACGACGAGGAAGGAGGAGGACGAGGAGGAGGAGGAGGAGGAGGAGGAGGAGGAGGAGGAGATGCAGGATGAGGAGGAGGAGGCGGAGGAGGAGGCGGAGGAGGTTTTTGGTTGTTTCCGGCCTCGGGGGGCCCTCGCCAGGCCTCGGGGCAGTCAAAAACAACTGCGGATGACAAGCTGGTCCCAGGAGGACCAGGACTTCCAGGCCCCGCGCACGGAAAAAACAAGACGTCGCATGTCTGGGTCCAGTCGGGGGGGCGTAGGACTCGGGCTCGGGGGGCTCGGGGTTGGCCTGACGGGGCCGTAACGAAAACGACGAGGCCCAGTCTGAAATTTGACTCGGGCTCCCGCTGCAAACATCGCACGAGCACTGAACCGTCGAACTCCAGGACGGGCCCGTCAAACAGCGCCGACGGCGAACTCTAGAAGAAGTAACACCCACAGAAATCTAAACGTTTGGCGCTCCGCGCGGATTTCTTGGATTCCCGCTGGACCCCCCCTCCCTGGCGCGCTCCGCGCGCCAGGGGCGGCGCCGGAGGCGCCGCCAGGGGGGCCCAGCGCCGATCCAAAATATCCGCGCGGAGCGCCAAAAGTTAATGGTTATGTGGTTGATTCTTCTTCGAGAGATCGAGGACGTGGTTTCTTTATGCTTTTTGCGCGTGTGTGTGTTTTCACGTTCGAGATTATGTTTTGTGTGGTTGTTTCTTCTTCGAGAACTCGAGCCTGACGCTCGAGAAACTCGAGAAATTGGTTTATGTTTTGTGTGTGTGCTTTCTTCTTCGAGTCTGACGGTCGAGCTTATGTTTTATGTGGTGGCTTCTTCTTCTTCTTCGAGCCGGACGTTCGCGCCGATGTTTTGTATGTATGTGTTTCTTTGTTTGTTTTTTCTCCTTCGAGCCTAACGTTCGAGCTCATGCTGTGCGTGGCTCGTTTTTCTGCTGCGAGAGCTCCGAGCCCTACGTCTTCCCGATCAGCCTTAGGTCGGGCATGCCCCCATACATGCGGATTCTGGGCGACAAACATGCGAGCACCCCAAACATGCCCCAGACATACCCTCAAAATGGTCCGAAAATCGTCCCCAGACTATGTTCTGACTAGTTTTGGAAATTCCTCCTGCAGAGGGACAGGCCCGACTTAAGATTCGGGAGCGGCCAAGAGGGGGGTGTCCAAGAGGGGGGGTGCAAATCATGACCGGCGGCATGTGCGCGGCCCAGCGGGGGGGCCAGGAACGCAATGAAATAAGAAGAGGCGCCATGAAATCTGGGGAAATATCATGGCCCACGCCATGATATCCACCCCCCCCTAGTCATCACCACCCTCTCTTCCGCCCCCGACACAGAGCCAGGGGGCCCAGGCCTGGGCCGGCACGCGCACACATCTAGGGCCCCCCCCCACCCCCCCTGCGCGGGTCCTGCGCCCGAGCCGCACGGAGACCACCTCAGGAGACCGCCCAGCTGTGACGTCCCACCGGTCCAGCGCATTAAAAAAAAAAAACAAAAAAAAAATCGAGACGGGGGTTTCTCTCGCATCTCGGCCCCAGAGGGCCCTCGCCGGGCCTCGGGGCCGTCGAAAAGCGACTCGGGACGAAAAACCGGTCCTGGGGAATGGGCCGAGACTTCTGGGGACCGCGTATTGAACAAAACTCCCGACATCGGATCTCCAGGATCGGGGGATCTTCTGGGTCAATCCAGACCCGGGTCAGTCAGGCCTTGCAGAATCCTGCAAGGTCCTGCAAGATCCTGCGCGCAAGCCCGGGCCAATGCGACCCAGGCCCGGGAGGATCCTGCAAGGTCGGGCGCTCTGACTGACCCCGTTTGCATTGACCCCCCGTCTCCTGAGTCCCGACTTGAGCAGGGACCGACCGTCCCGGCAATCCTATAGGCCTACCACGAAATTTTCTCCGAAACCACGTCATGTTCTAAGAACCAAGACAGCGTTCTTAGAGCATAAGCCCGATACTTCAAAACAAGGCAGTCTCAGCCAGACATGTTCTGAGAACAGTTCGTGCAAACCTCACAAGGTTCGTAGACAATGCTTGGGGAAGCTGATAGGAAAGCCGAGACGCTTCGCCACTTCTCGAGAAATGGGGCCGGAGGATCGCGCTGCGTCGACGATGCGAAACATCGGGATGGAGAAGACCAGCGCCCGCATCGAGTCGCGTCGCCAATGCATCGCCGATGCGGCGCGATATACGCCGGCCACCCATGCCTTGGCGGCGGGGGGCACGGGGGGGAAGTGAGAATGGGGGCCTCTCAAGGGCGGCGGGGCTTCTCAGAAGGCCTTAGGGCCTTCTGAGAGGCGTTCCAGGTCTTCGGGGAAGGTTCGGAACACTTCTTGGGAGGCCATGGGACACTCGAGCCTTCTGAGAAGGCCCGCCCCTTCTCGCTTCACCTCCGTGCTCGCCGCCGGCTTCTGGCTCCGTCTGGGAAGCCTGGGTCGCCGAAGGCCTTCGGGCCACAGCTCGGGCACCTGGCGGCCCGGCGGCCACTCGGGACGAGTCGGGCACACCCGCAACACTGCCTCGACGGGGCGCAGCCGATGAAAACCACCCGGTCCCGAACACCTCGGAGAGCCACGGAACATGTTCGACGCCCCTGCTTAGGGCGACGAAATCTATACATATCCACTGCTCCCTGGCCAGGCCCATCCTCAACCCCGCAGCGGTGTATACGCCACGCCCTCCTGGCTTGGCCAGGAGGGCGCATACACAGCTCCTGGGTTCAAGATGGGCATGGTCAGGGAGCAGTGGATATGTATAGATGTCGTCGCCCGAATGTTCGACGCCCCTGCTGGAACCTCCTCCTGGCCCCAGCCGTAGGCATCGGCGTAGAAGCGGAAGAACCCGCGGTACAGCGCCGCGGCGGTGGCCTTCGCCGGCCAGGCGCCCTCGCTCCGGGCCCTCTCCGCGGCCGCGGCGTCGTCCTCGAACGCGGCGTCCAGCTCGCCGCCCCTCTGCGGGAGGATCGGAGAGACATAGAAGCCAGGGCGGAGCCTCAAACAGTGCGTTTCGTCTTCGTGCTGGTTTCGTGCTCCCTCGTTTTGCCTGCGCTCCGCCTCGACTGGAGAACGAAGCCAGAACGAAGACGGCCCACGACATCGCCAAATCACCGTCTAGGTCGAGCCCTGATACAAGCCTGTTCTTCGGACGTTCCTTGCCAGCCGTGGAGTCGGCGAGCTTCCCTCAGGACCGCAACGGAGGGCTCCCAACTTCGCGCTCCGCGCTGCGCGAAGCGCGAATTCGCCGGCCCAACGGGCCAGAGGCGTGCTAAGATCTCCGGCAACTACTTAACAATCTTTCTAGCTCGCGCGCGCGGGGCGGCCCGTGGGGGGGCGGCCCCGGACGAGAAGTACCCTGGCCGATCCCCGGCTGATCCCCAGGCGATCCCCAGGGGGGGGGAGGCTATTCTTCGCCACCCCTCACGGGGATCGTGGCCTCCGAGGGGGGGGGGGGCTGCCGACGACTACCCCCCCCTCCCGCCCCAGAGGGCCCCCAAGAGCCCCCCGAGAGGCCCCAGGGGAGCCCAATGCGCCGCCAAGGAGCCCCTAAGACGCTCTCAAGAAGCCCCCAAGACGGCCCCAAGACGGCCCCAAGAAGAAGCCCCAAATAGCGCTCCACGGCCGGCGGAAGGAGCGAGGAAAGGGAGCCGAAGCGCGAAGTGCGCAGCGCCAACAACTTCGCGCCCTCGAGGGCGGCGAGGAGCCAGCGCCGCCCCCCAGGCGGCACTGGTCCGCCGGCCCCCCCCGGTGGTCCTCGGAACGCGTGTCGGCGCCAGCGGCGTGCTTGCCCACCGGAGCCCCTCCGCGCGACGCAAGCGGCTTTATGAGGGCGGGCACGTGGACCGCGTGCAGCTGAGCGGGGCAGACTTAGGTCGGGCACGTCCTCCGAATTCCAGGGGGATTTTGGGAACAAAATCAAAATACCCAAAACAAAAACTCAATTGTTTTAATATCCCCAGACTATTGTTCGACTGTTTTTGAATGTTCCTCCTGTAGAGGGACAGGCCCGACTGAAGGGTAGACACATACACACACACACACACACACACACACATACACACTGAGCTGACCCAATTCCCGAGGATCTTGGCAGGAGCGAGCCGCAAATGGAACCCTGTGTGGTGCCACGGGCCGGGGCTGGAATGCGAGACTCCCGAGACGGCTTCTCCGGCCGAACCGAACCAAACCACCACATCATCGGACGTCTGTCCGGGTCTGCGAAGACCAGGTAGGTGAGGCCATGGCCTCCTTTAGACATGCAGACATGCACAGGAACTGCAGGGACTGCTTCTCGGACTGCAGGGACATGATACAACAGAGAGAGAGCACGAGCCACTCGCTGCCGGGAGCGGCCCCTCGCCGGCAGCCAAGAGGGGCTGCCTGGGCGGACGCCGTGCATGGGTGGTGGAGCCTGGGGCCTGGGGTGCATCCGAACACGAGCCGATCACGATCCCGCCGGCCCCCCACCCGGGGGCCAACAGGCTGCGAGGGGCGGAGGGTTGTCCGGTCTCCTTTGGGTTTGGGTTAAGGGTTAAGGGTTAAGGGTTAAGGGTTGAGGGTTAAGGGTTTGGGTTAAGGGTTTGGGTTAAGGGTTTGGGTTAGGGTTTGGGTTAGGGTTACGGTTTGGGTTCGGGTTCGGGTTAGGGTTAGGGTTTGGGTTCGGGTTAGGGTTAGGGTAGAGCTGCTCTCGTCTCGCTCCGCGGCAGCCACGACTGACGGCCGCGCGAGGGGGGGGGAGGCCCGAGAGGCGGCCGCCGCCGACCCTGCCCAGATCGAGTGCTGTGAACTCCTGGGGGGGGGTCCCGGGACACGTGCGGTCGGGCCAAGGCCAGAAGAACAGCATCCCCCAGCACGTGGGGCACTCCGTCGGCCAAGACAGACAGAACATCCCCGGGTACCCTTCGGGGATGGACAGACCCCCCTTTAGTAAAACGTGGTTTAGTGAAAACGACCTGAGGCCCAAACCTGGCGGGCGCAAGCCTGGAAAATAGCGGCCACGGCGCCATCTCGAGAACCGAAAACGGACAATTCACTAATTGACGTGTCACTGTTGGGGGTTCTGTCCACCCCCGAACCCTCCCCTGGAGGGGTCCTGGGACACGTACGGTCGGACCTTGGCCAGAAGAAGAGCACCCCTCAACACGCGAGGCACTCCGTCGGCCAAGACAAGCAGAACATCCCAGGGTATACCCTCCCCAGGATGCACGAGAACATCCACCCAACACGAGCAACACTGGGTACCCGCCCCGAACCGACCTCGATCTTGTACCTCGGTCCGACTGCAAAAGTGCATCAGGGTCGTGCTCCCAAGGCCTCGACCCCTTCTGAGTTAGGCCAGATTCGAACTTCCAGACCAGAATCCCTTGCAGATTACGCCAGGTTCGCGCCCACCTTCCGCAGTTACGCTAGATGCGCACTCCCCAGGCCACAACCCCGTGTAAAGTACTACGGATTCACGCCCCCGAGGCCACAATACCTTGCAAGTGACTGCAGTTTGGCGCTCCCGAGCTCACACTCCCCCTCGAAAATAACGCCAGGTTCGTGCTCCGTGCTCCCCAAACCGCACTCCGTTTTCAACGTATGTTGCATCAGACTCTCGCTCCCGAGGCCACAGCCCCTTGCGAATCAGCGCATTTTGCCACGCTTCGGCGCTCCCGAAGCCACAATCCCTTGTAAAGTACACCCTCTCCATCGCTCGGACGTCCATTCCCTGTGCATGTGTCGATTTCGCGCGCGTATTTTTTCGCGTAGAGGGTGACCCACAATGCTCCTCGATGGTCCCCGCCGAAAAAGTGCGCACGCCCGAGCGATGCCAAGCACCAGGCTCGCGCTCCCCAGAACAACCCCTCGTACATCACACCCGCGTGGCGCTCCCGAGGCCACGGCCCCCCCCCAGAGAGTGTGCGGCAGAGCTGCGCCGCCAGAAGCCGCCCTCCCCGGACGCCGCCTGCGCCGTGGCGCTCTCGAGGCCACAGCCCTGGGCAGGGCTGAGCCTAAACGGTGTTCGTCGTTTTCGTTTTGCGTTCGCTGTCTCTCGTTCCGTCTGCCATCCGCCCCTTTGTACCGCAAAGCGACATCGAAACGAAGAAGCGGCCCACGAGATCGCCCAACACACCGTCCAGGTCCGGCCCTGGCCCTGGGCGACTGACGCCGGCCTCGCGCTCCCCGAACCTCTCGCCCGAGCCAGCCGCTCACGCCTGGATCGAGCTCCGAGGCCACGGGCCCACCCAGCGGATGCCGCCCGGGAGCGCCCGCCGCTCTCCCGAGCAGAAAGCTACCATTCTCTGCCTTGGGATGATTGCCTGGGTCGCCTAGGAGTGAAGTCGGGCCTGTGCCCCCACAGGCGGATCTCGAAGGAAAGATGCAGAATGACCAAAACATGTGCGGGAAGGGCCCAAACATAGTCGAAATATCGTCCCCGGAGTGTGTTTTTGCCTATTAGGGGATACCCTTCCTGTAGAGGGACAGGCCTGGCTTAAGCATGTGTCGAAGATCGACAACGCCCCTGGCGACGCCGACGACGCACAGCACACGCGAGCCGCGGGGGGTGGAGGGAAGGGGGAGGGCTTCTGAGCAGGAGGCTGCTTCTTACGAGGCGCCGGCTTTACATCTATAGATGCGGCCCGCGCCTTCTAAGAAGCATGGGGGCTTCTAATAGGCCCCCCCCCCCCCTCCCGCCACCCCCCACCGCCATGTCCACGTCCACATCAACCGCCCGGGAAGCGACGCCCTGGCGCCCCAGCGGGCGGTGGACATGAACATATCTTGACCCCGGGGGCCCGAAAATGTCCACATCCACCGCCTGCCGAGGCCCCCGAAAACTGATCCTCTAGGCGGCGATCGTGCGTAAATTCCCGCGTCGGGATCATTTTCGCGCCCCCGCCCCGCGGGTGTGCGCATTGGGAGACGACCGAGGGGTCAATCCTATACGGGCGTCCGCAGGTAGAGGCAAAGAAAATCCCGGGGCGCCGCGCGGAGGGCAGCGCTTTGTGTCTGTGTAATACCTGGGCCGACGCAGTAGCGGTATGTAACAATATAATCGGGATATGAGCGGACTTCACACACACACACACACACACACGCACACGCACACGCACACGCACACGCACACACACACACACACAGACACAGACACAGACACACACACACACACACACACACACACACACAGACACACACACACACACACACCGTCTCGAGACCTGCTAGCTCCGAGATGGCCTCGGGCCCTCGGGAGACAACGGCAGGGTTCGGGACCAAAGGTGTGAGGTCCACTCACATCACCGTCATATCGACCGCACCTCCAAACGAGGTTGTATCGACTAGGAAGGTGACGAAAAGGCCAACCCCGCCACACGGTGTGCTTAGGGGAGCCTACACGCTTTTGGCGGGCCCAGGGTGCGCCCCCAATAAACGTTTCGGCACACCTGGACGACTCCCCGTCACCACAGGTGACGAGGCTGGGAGAGCAAGGGAGAGAATATCAAAGGGAGTGCACATCCGCATTTTTCGATGCGGGTTTCTGCACCGACGCACAGTAAGAGTGCGCAAAGTGTAACGGATCAGAGTTGTGACGACAACTCGATCTAAGTAATATCTCCAGTACAGGGGCTTTCCAGGCCCAAAATATTGGTAGGGCTCTCTGGGCCCAAATTCACATCGTATTGGGACAACTGCGATAACAACTGATCTCTGCTAGAATAACATGCTGATTGCGAGGCACTCCAGGCCTTAAGAAATGCGCAAAATAACAGTAAAACGCAAAATCAAGAACGTGCATATCCTCAAAACAAATATCTCCAGTCAAAAGTGGCGACGCAAACGTAGGCACATTTCATGAGAAGTCGTACTCTGTGGCTTCCGACTTATCATGAACATGAAACATGTTTAGTCCGATAACATTGTTGTTGCCAATACACAAATGGTATGAAGGTAAGATGAAGTGCGCAGTGAATCGCAGAGAACAGTTAACAAGATCAACCAATACGTGTAACACTATAGTCATATCTCAAGATGTCACAGAACGGGCACAACATTCAGTAATGCAGTATTCTCAAATACTCCCCGATGGCCCTCGCCGAGAAATGGCAACACCCCGCCCCCCCCCCAAACAAAAAAACACCCCGCCAGAGCGATGCCGAGGAGTGGGAAGGCATGAGAACAGGGGAACGACAAATGGCAAAACCATAAAAACTCGGAGGTCCGCGCGGATTTCTCGGATCGGCGCTGGACCCCCCTCCCTGGCGCGCGGAGCGCACCAGGCGCGGCGCCGGGGGCGCCGCCAGGGGGGTCCATCGCGGATCCCAGAAATCCGCGCGGACCTCCGAGTCTTTTTCCCGGAAAGGGCTTTGGCCAAGGGTTCTCTTTTAGTATGTAAACATATCCCCCCGCGCCCAACTTGAAGGAGGCCGGCGGATTCTTTCCCTGATAAATATCGAGGTCGAAGGAGGCCGGCGGATTAAAATTTGAGGATGTCTCAGGCGAAACGCTTGTTTTTGAAATCCCGATCGATAAATCACAGGGTGCGGGACACCTCAGCACGACCACACCCCAGCACGACCACACCCCAGCACGACCACGCCCCAGCACGACACCCCAGCACGACCACACCCCAGCACGACCACACCCCAGCACGCACGACCACACCCCCCACGCACCACACCCCCACGACCAGCATCACGCAGCACGACCACACCCCAGCACGGCACACCCCAGCACGACCACACCCCAGCACGACCACACCCCAGCACGACCCCACCCCAGCACGACCACGCCCCAGCACGACCACACCCCAGCACGACCACGCCCCAGCACGACCACCCCCCAGCACGACCACGCAGCACGACCACACCCCAGCACGACCACACCCCAGCACGACCACACCCCAGCACGACCCCACCCCAGCACGACCCCACCCCAGCACGACCCCACCCTAGCAAGACCACACCCCAGCACGACCACACCCCAGCACGACCTCACCACAGCACGACCACACCCCAGCACGACCACGCCCCAGCACGATCACGCCCCAGCACGACCACGCCCCAGCACAACCACCCCCCAGCACGACCACCCCCCCAGCACGACCACCCCCAGCACGACCACCCCCCAGCACGACCACACCCCAGCACGACCACTCCCCAGCACGACCACACCGCCTTGGTTGAGTGGTTGCCTGTCGTCGTGGAATGTTTCGTGGGGTGTCTCGTGGAATGTTTCGCGGGGTGTCTCGTGGAATGTTTCGTGAGGTGTCTCGCGGAATGTTTCGTGAGGTGTCTCGTGGGATGTTTCGTGAGGTGTCTCGTGGGATGTTTCGTGAGGTGTTGCTCCGTTGGGTATCGTAAAAACGTGCCCATGCTCCACATGTCTATATCCCTTTCCGGGTTCGTGGGTCCATCATGTTTTATGTTTATGGCATTCTTCGCTCCCCTTAGGGAAGGAGCAGGGCGTGCGGAACGACCACCCCCCAAACTCGCAGACTTGGGAGGCGCCTCGCTGGCTCGCCGCGACGAGCCCTCTCTGGCCCTCCTCGCCCCGCCGCGGACCGACATCCGCTCGAGATCGGCTCCCGAGCCCCTTCCTGGCATCCTCGGAGATCTACAGTCGAAACGCTGGCATGAGGAACCCCAGATAAGGCACGAGGCCCCTCTTCGTCCATGAGTTTGACTGCGACTTCCCACCGATGCCCCCGAGGAGGCCCTCGGACAAGCTGTGAAAAACAATGAAGGGGCACTGAGCCCCTCCCCGACGAAAAAGGGTTCCTTCTTCGGCGGCACGACTGCACTGGCCCGGGTCAATCCGAACCCGGGACAGTCAGGCCTTGCAGGGTCATGCAGGATCTTGCAGGATCCTGCAGGGATCCTGCAGCCAAGCCCGGGTCAATGCGACCCTGGCTCGAGCTGCCGGGTCCTGCAAGATCCGGCGCTCTGACTGACCCCCATTTGCACTGACACCCGTCCCTGAACCCCGAAATCCGTCCTGCCCAGCCTTTCCCGCTGCGTCCAGTCGAGGCCACGAGAACGCCCATGGAGACTTTGGAGAGGGCCAAAGCCAAAAACGTTCTCCGTCGAGGTTCATGCCCACTCTGCCCTATTTTTTTTTAGGACGCGGACAGCCAATGATCAACTCACCACTTGTCACGTCGTCAAGTGCAGGTGCAATGCCAAGGGGCCGAAACTCGGGCCACCGTTTCGGAGGAGGGGGGGACAAGGAGGAGGACAGGAATGACAGGAGGACAGGAGGTCCATGCCCACTCTGCCCTATCTGCGCTGGCTGCGCCGAGGCGTGGCCACGAGGATGCGGGCTTCGCCCCACGCCGCCGGGCCCCTGTCTTGGATAATAGGAGATGCAGAAACTAGATCATGAGGTCTGGGCGCTGCCGTGAAGCAGTGTCGGGACCTGCTTGTTTTTCGACCCTGACCCTACGGATCTGCGTGAGGGGTGCCGCCGAATTTCAGAAATGTCGCAAATCCCCTGCGATTTTGGACCCTGACCCCACAGATCTGCGTGAGGAGCGCCGCCGAATTTCAGAAATGTGGCAAATCCTCTGTGTTTGGGACCCTGACCCGTGCCGCCGAATTTCTCAAATGTGGCCGAATTTCAAAAATGTGGCAAATACCCTGTGTAGTTTGGACCCTGACCCTAGGGATCTGCGTGAGGGAAGCCGCCGAATTTGAAAAATGTGGCAAATCCCCTCTGTGTTTTGGACCCTGACCCCGCCGATCTGCGTGAGGGGTGCCACCGAATGGCAGAAATGTGGCAAATCCTCTGTGTTTAGGACCCTGACCCGTGCCGCCGAATTTCTCAAATGTGGCCGAATTTCAAAAATGTGGCAAATCCCCTGTGTGTATTTGGGACCCTGACCCTAGGGATCTGCGTGAGGGAAGCCGCCGAATTTGAAAAATGTGGCAAATCCCCTGTGTGTTTTGGACCCTGACCCCGCCGATCTGCGTGAGGGGTGCCACCGAATTTCAGAAATGTGGCAAATCCTGTGTTGTTGGACCCTGACCCCGCCGATCTGCGTGATGAGGGGTGCCGCCGAATTTCAGAAATGTGGCAAATCCCCTGTGCGTTTTGGACCCTGACCCCGCCGATCTGCGTGAGGGGTGCCACCGAATGGCAGAAATGTGGCAAATCCTCTGTGGTTTTGGACCCTGACCCCGCCGATCTGCGTGATGAGGGGTGCCACCGAAGTTCAGAAATGTGGCAAATCCCTTGTGCGTTTTGGACCCTGACCCCGCCGATCTGCGTGAAGGGTGCCACTAAAATTCAAAAATGCGGCAAGTTCCCTGTGCGTGTTGGACCCTGACCCTACGGATCTGCGTGAGGGGTGCCGCCGAGTTTGAAACATGTGGCAAATCCCCTGTGTGTTTTGGACCCTGACCCCGCCGATCTGCGTGAGGGGTGCCACCGAATTTCAGAAATGTGGCAAATCCTCTGTGTTGTTGGACCCTGACCCCGCCGATCTGCGTGAGGTGTGTCAATTTTCCCCACCCCAGCAATTCAGAGCACGCGTTGTAAAAATGCCTGTTTTGGGCCTCCCCCCCTCGCGCGGTCCATCAACAAGGAACAGTAAGCAGCAAGAAGCAGAACTGTAACAGTGGAAACTGGAAGCTGCAAAGAAGCAGAACTGTAACAGTGGAACATGGAAGCTGCAACTGGTACGGGAAACTGCGAACCTTAGGCCTACAGCCTGGTGGCCCCAAAGGGGGCTGGCGGATTCATGCATGATTATAGATGCGCACGTAATAGAAAAGACCCTGACCGACGACGACGACGACGACGAACACGACGAGGACGAACTCGACAGCAACCTCGACCACGACGACCACTCGCTCTCGGCGACGGCAACGGCGGCCACAACGATGACAAACCCAGCGTCAAGCGCCGACGTCACCACGACGACCCCGACGACCTCGACGATCCCGACGAGCTCGACGACGACGACGACGAAAACGAGGACGGCGAGGACGAGGACGACGAGGACGACGACCACGACAAGCCCCATGACGACGACGAAACGCGACGACGACGACGACGGTAGGCCTCTGCAGGCTCGGCAGCGGCGGGTCGGCGGCCACTTGCAGGAAGTAGACAACCATCAGAGTCAGCGCGTAGGAGGACAGGTGCCCCGCGTGCGCGCCGCACAGGTGGTGCTCCCGCGCCCAGAGCTTCACCTCGCAAGGTGCGACCCCCTCCTCCGCCCTCCTCCGCCCACGCCCGCCCTCCTCCTACTCCTCCTCCGCCTCCCTCTCCCTCCTCCCCACCACTCCCCACTCGCCCACCGATCTCCTCCTCCTCCTCCTCCTCCTCCTCCTCCTCCTCCTCGCTAATTACCTCCCTCCCTCCCTCCCTCCCTCCCTCCCTCCCTCCCTCCGTCCCTCCTCCCCGCTTCCTCCTCGCTTCCTCCTTCCCTCTCTTCCAACCTCCACCTTCTCCTCCTCGCATCCACCGCCGCCTCCTCCCCTCCACGTCCCTCCCCGTCTCGTCCACCTCCGCCGCTCCCCCATCCTGGGGAGTAGAGAAGGGAGAGGAGAGCGAGGAGGGCGAAGCGAAGAGGGAAGAGGGGCAGCGGGCGAAGGACCAGGAGGAGGAGAGGGAGTGCAGGGGAAAGCAGGGAGCAAGCAGGAGGGCGAGGAGGGGGAGGCGCGGGAAGGGAAGAGAGGGACTGGCCAGCGCTCGGACGCCACCTCCCCGTGCACGTGCCGATGTCGCGCATGCCTTTGCTACTGCTCGATGCTCCAGGCTGCTCCTCGGGGTTCTGCGAGCCCCCCCCCCCTTTTGTGTAGTCAGGGCCATCCACTGGCGCGCTCTCATAAAGACTCGGAGGTCCGCGCGAATTTCTCGGATCGGCGGTGGGGCCCCCCGGCGGCGCCTCTGGCCTGCCCCTGGCGCGCTCCGCGCGCCGGGGAGGGGGGTCCAGCGCCGATCCGAGAAATCCGCGCGGACCTCCGGGTCTTTATGCCCATGCCACTTTTTGTTCCCCCATGGTTGGGTATCCGACAAGTGTCGTCCGAAGGGATCGGCATCGTCGGAGTTGCGCACAGGTGGTGCGTGGAGTGCGCTTGGCCTCTTCTGGGGCCCGTCTTGAATCCAGCGGTTGTTCACTACATGCGGTGCGTGATGGGGCGAGCGCTGATCGGCAAGAGAAG